CAATGGCTCAGTAACGCACCGCGCACAGTATTGCACCGCCTTAATCCACTTCCGTGTAGGGATCTTGCTTCGACTTAGAGCGCGGATAAGTCTTCTTCGCATCGCAGCAGCCGAGGAGAGTGGTCATACTGAGCTTCAAGCTGAGGGGTTTCGAAACATCGCCGCCATGGCGCGTCGAGGAGGTTGGGATAGAGAAGCAGGCTCGTTGGATTCGCTGAAAATTTGCATCTGGTATTTCGCTCCCTCAATAGCTGGCCAAGATGTAGGGGAGTCGTGGTGGTGTAGAGACAAGTGCTTTCCCTAGACGCGGCGTCTGTTCGTTCGCGTCGCACGCTTCGAGCTTTGCACCGCAACCACCACCTTCCGCGCTGCCATATCTGTCAATTGCATGTAGTTCAGAAACCCAGCAGAGCTTCAAGGCGAAAAGGAACAGTCCCGGATGCACTCGCGTAGTGGCTACCGCTTGTCTGACAGTACGTCTAAGAGTGTCATCTTGTTCACCCGGCGCTGCTCGTTGCCATTTGGAATGGGATTTCCGAAACCACTACAGTCGCTGTGATCCAGCAGCGCTGATACTTGCCTATCAAAGAATCATGATCCAGATTAAATGCTGCCTTGACTTGGCATGACGGCTCGCTGCCTCGCGCTGAATATGCCGGTCATGAAGACCGTGGCGGGACGCAGGGGCAGGAGTAAAGCCCTAGGAGCTGGCGGTATATTTTCATCTTCCGGCTCGCAAAGTCGCCGTCATGACACTGCAGAGCCTTGCGAGCACCTAATGCCGGTCAATGTGGTTGAGCTGGAAGCAAACTTGTAGTATTTATTGCGGCTGACTTCACACACGCAAGTGTAGCATGAATGCAATATCCGCGTCTATCCCCATTGAGACTGTCCGGACGGCGACGCTGCGGCCATAGTGGATGGACATCGTGATGGCGTGCAGCCTTCCTCCATACTCCATAAATACGCGTACGCGTCTAATCGACGTACATGCGTCTTCACGACAAGCTGATCTGGGATGCCTATGGCAGGTCAATACAGCGCCTTGCACCACTACGAGAATGACTCTCCCACCAGGATATCTGCTGAGTACCTTGCATTTCTTCTGGACTATACGCGATACTGACACCCTCGACAGGCTCTGCTCTGATTTTGGGGCAGCAAGGTATTCAACTAATGCCAAAACGGACACTACGGTCATATCAGGTGCAGAACATCTACCGGCGTCCAGCAATTTTCGCATTGACTCGCAGACAGGCCTAGGTCCAGGTCAAAGACCGTCGCCGTATCCCGGCCGTGTACACGCCAGCAGTCTATTGATGGCCTTGCACGTCGTTGTTTTCGCTCTCTACGTCGGACTCTGTATTGTGTGGGCGATGGGTCTAGAACAAAGAATACTAGTGGCATTTACGAGCGCCTCGCATGTTCAGACCTGGATCAATCTGATCAGCCACGTCCGTCCCCCCTCTTTTTTCCACAATACTCGCTTGCTGATGTTTGCACTAGCTGATTATGCTGTTGCTCTCAATCGTGCTTGTAGCACTCATGCAATCTCATGCGACTCGATCTCCCTTCGCCAACCTTCCTCAACCCTTGACATCGCTATCCGACAAGATCTCTTCATGGAGCGGGTTGGGCTCCGCCTTGCTCAATCTCTATCACAACCTGAGTTTCCCTACAACCCTCGGCAACGCCATTCTCAGCACGACGTACTTCGCGACACTCTCCGGGCTCGGTATAAGCTCTTCCTTCCTGTTCACCGTGCCGGCCGCCAACGAAACCATTTCTCACAATGTGACAACACTGATCGGTTCGCCGTCCGTACTCGGGATGATCCCACCCGGGAGTAACGTCTCCGGTATACCCTCCGACTTCACGAACCTTACATTCAACTGGTATCGCTCCGGGATGGGCGTTGGCGTGCTCAACAGCGTCAACACGACCGTTTTTCCGGGCTTGGTCGCCAATCGGGTCTACGACACTCTTCTTGAACCCTGGCCCGCATCTTCCAACGCAACTGCCACCGTCGGGTTCACCGACTTCAATGTCAAATGCGGAAGCGTGCCGGGTCTGAACGCCTCCGCGAGCTACTCCCGCGCACAGAACAGCCAATTCAGCGACGGTCTCTCCCCAGGGACGGCGGCTGATGACCGCTACCCCGCTCTACTCTCGATGCACTACAACCTTGGCCCATATGCGATGTCAGTCTATGACGTGTTGTCAGTCTCTTCTTCCGAACGCGCTGTCAGCCGGCTGTGGCAGCCTGCAGGTCAGACCCCGCCGACTTCTGTCCCGACCTCTCTTCTGACATTGTCCTTTCAGATATACTGCTGCGTATACCAGATAGCAGTGTCGTGCCAGGGCTCGGGCGCAACATCATCATGTACAACATCTACAACGAGACTGGAGAGGTATCCGGAAGCCAGCCGATCCGCGATGTCCAGAATGCGACGGGCTCATCTGAGTCTACTCTAGTTCAATCCCTTCATATCTCAGAGGAACCGGGGTCTTCCTCCGCACCACCGCAAGTGGGGGAGGGCGCGCCCACGGCCAGTCTGATGATTCAGACCATCGGGTGCTCCCTGTCAACCAGCACAGGGTTTGCTAGTCTGGACGCCGCAACGAATCAGCTTCTCGATCTCCCGGGCGCGGCGATGGGCGCAGCTTCGCATAGCAACTGGTCGGACTGGCAGCCAGACTTGACAAACTCCAATGCGTGCGTTGTTGTCTATCACGGTGATGCATGGTAAACGTGACTTTCTGACGGTGTACGTTTACCCGATAGACTGGAGGATACATGGGCGACCATGCTTCTCCCCAATAAGGGCTCGATCGGACTATGGGACGGACAACCAGTGCAACCAAGCCCGTTGTGGTCATGCCTCTCCTACCAGTACGATTGGGATACGGCCAATATCAGCACCTTCAATACGGTGGATCTGGCAAGGATATACAGCACTTGTCATGTGCCTACGGTCGTCGAAGACTACCGTATGTGCACCCTATTCGGTGATAGAGATCTTGCTGATCGTCCTCTCTGGCAGTCACGACGCGCCTATTTGGGGCAGTGGCCTCGCGCGACGAACAAGGCGACGCAGTGCGAGTCTCATCCTCAGCCGACGCGACCCTGAGCGCCCTTGAATCCGCCCTCGCAGGCCTGACTGCTATGACGATGTGGTCTGCGGCGAGGACGAATACCCTCATGGTGACGTACGCGCCCGCAACAAGGCGGCTCAGCAATGCAACTGGCGAGATTGCACTCCTCCCCTCGACCATTCTTGCGCCGTTCAATGGGTCGACCCAAGTCGTCGAACGGGTCCTAGTGGGGCGCATAACAGTCAGTCACTCATCAGCAGCCAGCTCTGTCTCTCATACTGACACTGATCGTATCATCGCGAAGTTCAACGTCCCAGCACTACTCGTCGGGACGATCTTGGCCGCGATCCTGGCCATATTGGGTGTCTACATTCTCGCCAGCGGTGATGCAGCGCGTATGAGAGATGCGCCCATCAACGATGCCGGCCTCTTGAGTCTCATGGCTCTGGATAACTCGGCCGTTGCGGAACGTCTGTCTTTATCAAGCCTGGATAGCGTGAAGGTGCGGCGGCGGGCGGGAGCATCTCTGGTGGAGATTGTGGACGGTCGGCTGGTGCCGGTCGAGAAGACGACGTCGTAGTAGATACATCATTGATTCATTCTGCACGGCTTTAATCTAGAAAGCGGTAATGGCATTACAGTGTAAGAACAACCTCAGCGAAGCGCTGCTCTGCGTACTCCTTATCAGCGTACCCCTTATCAACTGGCCTCAGCTGGTCGGCCACGTTGCAAAACTTGATTCGACTCGACAATGTAGACACGCGAGACTGTTCGACCCGGCGGATGAAGGCAAGAGTAGAGACGTGCATGTATGGAGGTCGAAACGTTCGGAAAATCGGAGCACGCGCACACACACCTCCGCGCTTCCCGCGCTACGTACCTCCGCGTCCCCGCGCCTCTGTCCTCCCTCGCCAGTCTGCACGCCGCTCCCATCTAGATCTGAATGTGCATAGAAAATGTGTCCTGCGCTGTTCGCGCTGTGCGAACCCGACCAGTTCGGACGTGGCGGCTTCGGGCCGCGCGGTGACGCGCCCACGTGGCTTGCCGCGTGCGACGCAGATCGCGTCGTCCTCTCTCGGTCCTGCGACTTGCAGCTTACTGATTTACACAACGTATTCTTGTAGCAGGATCTCTAAGAATCCAAGCATCTGATAGCGTTTCTCCTATTTATGTAGTCATAGCAGTGGGATGTAGTTAGGGCGCGACGCACATGAGGGGGAAGGAGGCGCGCCCGCCATCGTCGCGCGTGGACGCATCAACTTGATTTGACCCGCGCCGGTCTCGACTTTCCGCCTCCTTCTGTCAGTCCTTGCTTCCCAAGGAAGTTCAGATTCTTTACGCGCCACTCAGTCGGCCCGGGCTCACTACTTCTCCTTCCGCATGCGCAGCGCCTCTCGAAACTGCAAACTTAGCGTCTTCTAACACGACGATTATGTCGAATGATATTGCTTCACTCAAAGAGCTTGAAATATCATGATACATGTACGCTTGACTACTAAGGCCACCCTTTGGTCTATCGGATCGCTAGACATGAATATCCACCCAAATGCCGGCCAAGTTACTTGGCGGGCTCGGAGGGACGGCAGCGGTTCAATGCGAACGAGTACGAGGATTTCACTACTGTAGGTGCGTGTTATACTTGCGGCTGGTGGCTCAACGCCCAATCCTTCTGCTGGGAAAAGTATCATCACTGTCCATATTCTGGCGGATCACTCTCAGTCTCGCCGCGGATAGTGAACGAATGCATCAAGTTTGCAAAGAGCCTACTCTCCAATCTCCTCTCCATATCGCTCAGGGCGTGGCTCTCCTCTACAGCAGGCGCGGGATGTGAGCCTTCTGAGATGAGGTGGGCGGCATGGTCAGGAGATGCTCTTGATGGGCTGTGAGGACTGTCTGCGCCAGGATCGGAGTAGTGATTCAAGAGTGCTGCGCGCTGCCGAAGGCCGTTCTTCTCCGGGTGTAACGTTGCTCGCTCGACTGTATCAGGTGCCGAGAGCAGGAATGGCTCTGTGAGATACGCGCCTTCGCGCGCAGCGGGGAGTTTCTCCGAGGTGTCGATCCTATCATCACGCAGAGGCATCTCGCGAGCGCGCCTCCGGCGACGCATGTGGATAAAGACGACTATAGCGAGAATCGCGACGGCCGCGGTCCCGCCGACTGTAGCGCCGATGATCGTACCGATTGAAGAGTGCCCGTTCGGTGGCGCCGTATCCCTATTGCACATTGAGTAACGTGCAGACGAATGATGGCGTTAGGCGGCTTACGTTGAAGCCGGGGAGATGGCAGTTGCAGCGTTCAAGACGTCCAAGGCGTCAACTTGTGCCACCGTATTGTACGTAGTGTCGTCTTCGTTGACCTGGTACCAGGATTTGGAATAGACATCGCCGGGGTTGTAAGCCGTTGTTATAACGGCATTGAACTGTACACACATCGTCAGGATCAGCGCGGGGTACAGGCGAAACAGACACCACTGACCTGGATCGCGAGGTATTCATCAATGAGGGAGACCAGGGTATCGTTCGAAGGGTTCCGTAGCCTGGCTTCCAAGAGTCCGCGTATGTAGATACCTGAAGATTCATGGCTTGGGTCTTTGATTTCGTGTACGACTGCTAAGTTTCGTACCTTTCGAGCAGTAGGGTGCTTGTGGGTCTGTGTCTGCCGATGACTTCAGACATGATGCGGAGCTATCACGGTAATCAAGTGGGGCTGACCTTTAGTCAGTATTCCCGTAGTAGTGTTGTCCCAACTCGCGGGCTGATAGGTCACAATCGCAGGGACCAGCTCGTACAACCTGTGAACACATAGTTGAGTAGCAACACTCTGCCTGAGGGGAACCTGGTGCGCACATCTGTGCAAAGCCATCGCCCGAAGTGCCGTTCGTCACGTTCGCCAATATGCTGAGCCCTTCAAGGAGAAACCCGACATCGTCCGGATTGGCAGTACCGGGCGGAGTCGCAGTCCCAAATGCGCAAGTGGACGCGTTGACCACGTCAGTGATGAGAGCAGACGTGTTGCTTGTGTCGATCATGTGAGTGGATGCCATGAATTGGATGGATTGCTCCGCAGCATCTAGGTAAGTTCCGTTACCGGTGATCTCGTACAGACGGGCAGCTAATCTATGGAAAGGCTCAGGCAAGTCTGCCGCATAGAAGCATCCTTGAGCAACGCACGCGATCCATGCTCTGCCGACGCATACATGTCAGAGCCAACACGCTAGTAAGAGACAAAGGCACACACCCAATCCCGACCGCGAAGACGTCCGTGTTGGTGGTGCCGTGATTGAAGAAGAGCAAGCCTCCAAGATTAGCTGTACCTCTTGGCTCAGCAGTACTCTGCAAGGGACTACGGCTGTAGACGTACAGCCGCAAGTTGTGCTCAGTGCACGGGTGTAAACTCCATTCTGGGCATCCGAGGTAGTGATGAAGTCTGTGTACACGATGTCGAAGTTTCTCTTGGCTATCTCGAGACGAGACTCGTTCTTCCCATATGCGTCGTAAGCCGCAATCTCCGCCAATCCAAATACACTAGAAGACCGCGAGCTCAGATGTAGAGAGTGGAAGAACGAGAGATGGACGCACCACGTGTCAAGGTTTTGTCCCTGCAGCGAGATTCAGTAGACGTTCTTCTACTGTCACAAGCTGCCTACGCTCACCCTTCCGTCCAAGGCTGTGCTATTGTTCTCGTACAGATCCAAGGTGTTCATAACCGTCGACCTTGAGGATACGTCGCCACTACGCCAATCTTGTGAAGCAAGCACGATGAGCATGTTCGATATCGTTCTTAGACCGTACAGCGGAGCGTCTGATGATGATCTGTCAATGATCAACGAGAGCCATCTGGCCGCGCTCACCCTTTGGATAACCAGTGTTGTCATTGATATTTGCTCGGAGTTCTCGTGCAGCGTTCTCCGAGTAATTCAGACGTTGAGCATGGGTGAGTGTGATGTTCGTCTTCTACAGAGACCTAGCAATCAGTACTTGAAAGCAGACATCGTTCTTGGGGCGACAAACCTTCCATCCAGATGGGACCGCGAAATCCTGTCCAGTGGCTTGCATCGGCCAGATGAGGCCCGCGAGCATGCCACCATGAACGGCGGCCCCTAAGAGGGCTCGAAACATGGCTCGAGTCAAGAGAAGGCAGCGGAGAGGCAGTGCCTCTATGCTTCAGGGATTGCCTTATAGTATCCACGGCGGTTGTACATCAGCATTATGACGCTAGCTTCTGCGCGCGGGCACGGCAAGCCTATTAACACATAGCGCGGGAAGACCATGAAAGCCCGATACCAACGGAGCAACCAAAGTATCCAGCTGACACATCGTTATCAATGCCCATAGAGCAGGCTATGCTTCCAACAGAGGCCGGACGCTTCTATGCCAGGATCCTTCGCTCGATTGTATAGCGCAAAACACCACTGTTGTGATTCCTATAGCTCATCAGACGAGGGAAATCAGCAGAGTGTAGGGCGCACGTACAGCAGACGACAACGACTTTGATCCAAATCGCAAAGGGGGAGAATATGGGTGAGTAGAACTTGCCCCGGTGGAACGCTCGCCAGAGCAGTCCTCCCATCTTTGCGGGGCACATATCTTGACGCGTCGCCTGCAAATCACATCCGCACATTGGTGTTCGTGACGAAATCGAGCACGACGCTTATATGTCCATGTACGGGAACTGGTATCGGCGAATGCGACGTCCTCCTTTGAGCACAGGCGCCGCTTGATTGCTATTGAGTATGCCGTGGAACCTGCGAACGAGGCCGGATGTAGTCAAGGCTCGGCGGCATTCCACGCGTCGTTCCGGCGAGCAGCTCACGAGAGTCCGTTATATTGGCTGGATAGAGTATACGAGAGTGGTAGGACTACCGCTTCGGGGATTGTCAGGTCGTCGACGTCGACAATATGTCCGAGGCGGTGTCACACTTCGAGCCTAAATGGCTCCTAATATTTTAGCGGTCTCCAGGCGGCCATACTGGTTTCCGCTGAGATAATTGCAGCTTTCCGGCCAAACAGGCCAGACCTCGAGGAAGTGCGCGTACGGCGTTGAAGGCAACTCGCGTTAACGTTCGCTGCGTCGCCGCGTCGCGTCACTACGTCCGGCCCGAGAACGCGTCAATTCCAGTCTCATTTCTCTGCTTGCGCAAATTCACACACCGAAGCGCCTCAATACAGGGACTTTGAACTCTCTGCTACATTAGTTGACTAGTTTCAGAAGTGCGCTAGGATCAATACGTGACCATCTTGGCCGTGGATGTGAGGGAACAATGCGCGCCACTCGACGCTCAGCCTGCCACGGCAACTTCCGCACGCGCAGCGCGCCTCTGCACCGAAGTCTAAAGCTCTGCCTCTTACCACGACGGTTATGTCGAACGGCGCGGCTACACTTGAAGAGCATGAACTCCTAGAACACCAGTACGCTCAGCTGTCACTGCTGACATGTGCTCCTCTGGCTTTCAAGATATAACCTACACCTAGACGCCGGCCAAGTTACTCGGAGGGCTCGGAGGGACGGCAGCAGTTCAAGGAGGCCGAGGAAGAGGATTTCACTACTATAGGTGCGCGGTGAACCTGTATCACACGTGATCATGCTCTCATGAATACGTGTGCCACTACAGACTGGATAGAAGACGCGATCGTCGAGCGCAATCGCCGTTTACGAGTAGCACGCGATGCCTCAGCCGGCCGACGAGGACCCAACGGCGAGATCACGCTCCACTGGCTGTTTTGGCAAGCACGCGCCCTATTCGACGCAAGTCAAACTTGGATAGTGGTCTCCATAGCCGGTACGCCCATCCCTTTCTCCAACATCCTCTCACCATATATTTATACGACAACTTCACAGGCGCGCTCATCGGCGTAAACGCGGCCGTGATCAGCATAGTCACCGAATGGCTCTCAGATATCAAAATGGGCTACTGTGCCGACGGCTGGTGGCTGAACGCCCAATTCTGCTGCTGGGAAATCGACAGCTCCTCGCCGACCGAATCGGCCCCCTGCGAATCCTGGCGTCCCTGGGCAACACTGTCCGGTACTCGCTGGCTAGTCTACGTCCTCAGCGCCGCCCTCTTCGCCTTCATCTCCGCCCACCTCGTCCGCACCGTCGCGAAATACGCCGCCGGATCCGGTATACCGGAGATTAAGTGTATATTGTCGGGATTCGTCATGCGAGGCTTTCTTGGGTTTTGGACGTTCTTGGTCAAGACTTTGACGCTGGTAAGTGTCTATGAGGGATGTTATTTGGATTGGAATGGACGTTCACAGCCACTTGTTATAGCTTCTGGATTGGCCGTTGGCAAGGAGGGGCCCAGTGTGCATCTCGCGTGTACGATCGCGTATCTCGTCGCGAGCCTATTCAAGCGGTTCTCGCGCAGCCATGGTACTTCATCCCTCTTGCTCAAAACGACCGTCATGCTGACCGTGATCTGCTCTCACAGGCCGAATGCGCGACGTACTTACAGCGGCCAGCGCAGCAGGCGTGGCAGTAGCCTTCGGCGCCCCAATTGGCGGCGTCCTCTTCTCAATCGAAGAAATGTCGCCAACTTTCTCCATCCGAACGATGTGGCGATCGTTCCTCTGCGCTCTAGTAGCGACCGTCACCCTCAGCGCGATGAACCCCTTCCGCACAGGCAAACTCGTCCTCTTCCAAGTCACCTACGATCGCGACTGGCACTTCTTCGAGATCATATTCTTCGTGGTGCTCGGTATATTCGGCGGCTTGTATGGAGCGCTGGTCATACGGTTCAACATGGCCTTCATGGCATTTAGGAGGAAACATCTGGCGAAACATGGAGTCGCGGAGGCGGTGTTTCTAGCCCTGGTCACGGCCAGCATCGGGTACTTCAACCGGTTCTTGAGGATCGATATGACGGAGAGTCTGGCGGTGCTGTTTAGGGAGTGCGAGGCGGGAGGGGACTACGAGAGTCTTTGTCAGACGGCGGTGCAGTGGCCTATGGTCAACAGCCTGTTTCTGGCGACCGTCATCCGTATCGGACTGGTCATCATCAGCTATGGCGCGAAAGTCCCCGCCGGGATCTTCGTGCCGAGTATGGCTATTGGTGCCAGCTTTGGCCGTATGGTATGTTCTCGTCTCCACCGTTTGTGGAATGACGAGATGTTGACTTGTACTATAGGTCGGGATCATCGTCAAGGCTATCTACCAGGAACACAAGAAGAGCGGGATATTCGCGGCCTGTCCACCCGACGCACCGTGCATCACACCCGGAACATACGCGTTCCTCGGCGCTGCTGCAGCGCTGAGCGGTGTCATGCGTATCACGGTCACCGTCGTGGTCATCATGTTCGAGCTGACCGGTGCCCTCACGTACATTCTACCCACGATGGTACGCCCTACCTCTTCTCCACCCGACATAAGATCCTGACCATGCTGCGAACAGATCGTGCTGCTCGTAACGAAAGCAGTAGGCGACATGCTCTCCGTCCGGGGTATAGCCGACGAAGCAATCCGCTTCAATGGCTACCCCTTCCTCGAGAAAGACGAGCACGTCTACGACGTGCCCGTCTCGCACATCATGCGCCGCGACATCCCCGTCCTGCGCTCAACGGGCATGACCCTCAGCGAGCTACACTCGCTGCTAGCGCGCACGCCCGCGAAGGGCTTTCCGATCGTGGCGCCGGGTCCGGAGAGGACGCTACAGGGGCATATCGGGAGGAGAGAGCTTGTGCATGCTATCGAGAGGTGCACGCAGGAGGGTGGAGGATTGGGAGATGAGATCAGGGTGGCGTTCGTGAGAGCGCAGGACGAAGCGACGGTCGATCCGCTCTGGAGCGCTGTCGGCGTAGACGAAGCAACAGACGAACACGTCCGCTACGCCCTCGGCACCCTGAACACCGGCGAACTGCGACTCTGGCCCTGGGTAAATCAAACGCCCATCACAGTCTCGCCCTCCCTGCCACTCGAAATCGTCCTCCAACTATTCCGCCGCATGGGCCCGCGCGTGATACTCGTCGAGGAGCGCGGGTCGTTGGTGGGATTGTGTGAGGTGGGGGACGTGCTGGATCTGGAGGAGCATGCAAGGCCGGGGTGGGCGCGGGAGGGGGGCGTCGAGGAGGCGATCGAGGAGGTTAGGGCGGGATTGAGGCGGGGCGTTGATGGGGCGCTGGGGGTGAGGG